TACTCCCACATACACTGAAGCTTAATCAGTTCTGATTTAATAAACTTTGAAATGAAGTGCCACCTTTGTGGTCTGTGTTGAGCCTAGATAGTTTGGTCGCATACACAAATGTCGACCACTGTGCCCTCTGTGCCAAGGTTTCCTCTTAGCCCCAGCACCGATAGGCAGCACTGTGCTATATGTGCAGTAATAGTTATCCATGGGGCAATGCTGTGCTGTTAATATGCTTTAACTGGAACGTGAACTCCCCTCATATGTAAAATATACTGCATGTGTTTTGTGTCGTTTTTATGCTATGTGAACAGAGAAGCATTGATCTTTAGGGAGTCATGTTACTGGCTCAGTACTGTAATTAAGGAGCTCTGCCTTTGCACTGAGACTCACCCACTTTTTCTATGGTAGAGCTTGGCTCCGCTAGCAGGGAGGAGGTTAACAATTTTGAGGTCTGACGCCTGAGTCATGTTTCCCAAAGAATTTCAGGCAGCTCTAGAACTGCGAGGCGAGGATTGTCCCTCATCCCCCCCTCACTTTCCTCTTATGTCTCCCCTTTCTTTTTATCTCTCCCATTCCCTCGCTCTTCATTTCACCCATTGCCCTAGATCTTATCAAGCTGTCCATGCAGACAAAGCATACTGGCAATTCATTACCTATCATGCTTGCCTGGAAATACCTCTCATCTTGGGGAGGAGAGTTCGTGCACAGTCAGATCAGCCAAGGTGGCACCTGAAGAAGTCCCTGCTGCAATTAGTTCAGATGCATGCTGCATGTGTGCATGGATCATGCCCCATGAATATACACTGCATGTGCAATTCACTAAGCAATCCTAGTATTGAAGCCCAACTCCAACCAAAGCATTTTTTTAAAGTTTTGTACAGAGAGGGAAAGGCTAGAAAATATATCAGTTCTATATTTTATATATGACGACGGATTGGGCAGATGTAAACACATTTCCTGTCCAACACAGTGCCATGGGTACAGGAAGCGATGGGATATCTCTTGGGGACACACAGCAATAAAAACATTTACTTAGGGAGTGGGAAGGAATAAGAACAGGTCAGGTTTTTATTGCTCCATTTCTTTTTTTGTAGGGATAGCAGCGTCCTTATCTTCTTATCCTAGTGCAGTGGTCTCCAAACTGTGGCCCTCTGCTTGCATTTAACTGGCCCTTGACGCAACATTCCTCCTTATGACACTGATGATGGGGCAGTTTCTCTCATTGAGGCACTATACCCCCCTCTGACATGAAAGATGGGGCACAATTCCCCCAACACCAACAAAAGCGAAACATTCCTCCCCCTGACACCAACGAAGGGGTACAAACCCTTTTTTCTTTTTTACTTCAACTGGCCGACAACTCTGAATTTTACTTGCACTGATCATCAAACCTGTGGCACTTTCTACTCCTACTGGCAAAGTCTGCCCTCCTAAACTCATACGGACAATTACTATTTGTTTAGAAAGTTTGGGTACCCCCCTCCTAGTGTCACCTGAACAGGAAATGTGGGGTAAATCTCCCAAATGAAGACAGACAGCAATAAAACTTGACAAAATGTCTAACGCTTGTTCACTGTATAGGAAACGTAAAAAATACGTTTTTGGCAGTAATTGAAAAGGTCATAAAAGAAAAATGTCACACTTCAGATCTGACCTTCCTCTGTTGAACTTCAGGGACTTGCTGCAACTTTTCTCCTGGACACAACCTGAGCAGTTTTGGTACATGTATGATAAAACTTGGTCTATTTTCTATAAAGGAAAATCTGAACAGTAACAGATTTATGTCTAAAATGGTGGAAAATGTGTGAAATTCATGGAGAACTTGCCGTCCTGGTAAAGTATGTGTACACCCAATCATTAAATCTCAAGATAAGCTTTGGCTTGTTGATGTGAAAGTAATTTTCAATGTTTTTTTTAACCTGCAGCTTTCATTAAATTAATACCTGGTGATCCTCTCATTAAGATCTTTGTACACAGACTTCCTGTTAAAATGTGACACCGTATCACTGTCTTTAAGTTGTTCTCCGGTATTGGAACCCTGGAGACTACAAGTGGTCTTTTCAACTTTTGTCACCATTGGGAAAACCTGAGAAATGTCATGCTATCGCTGGAGTGCATGTAGGCAGAAAGTGGCTGCGAACAGGCTGAAGGAGGCCGTGGAGATAAGAATCAAGGGTGAAAGGAAGAGGGTAAATGTGTCTAATAAAAAAAAAAAAAAAAAAAAAGGGGGAAATGGAAAGTTTAAAATTATACAGCAATGAATGCAGAATTGCACCGGCTAAAGAGGACTACAAACCCAGCAATAGTACATT